GAGATGTCACAGGTTTATTCATGTAGTGTGATGAGGATTCATACTTGGAATTCTATGGACTGAGTTTGCCATACTTTTGCATTGGTTTAGATCATTACTGATTTGTATCAGAGAGTGGTTGTCATTTCAACCATGTGATCTCTCACTGAGAATCAATAAGTTTGGTTAGATGGTATGTATTAAGAACACTAATTTTTCATATCCCTTAAATAACTCAACTTGAGAACTTTTTAAATGGAAGAAATCTATGTACTAATAGGACATTAAATAGACATGATAGTTTGTTGGTGAAAAGATCCAAATACTGTTCAATAAAAAGAAAATTTGGTTAAATAAATTTATATCCAAAGAAATGTATATCTATCTATCTATCTATCTATCTATCTATCTATCTTTCTATCTATCGATCTATCTATCTACAGAGAGAGAGAGAAATACCAATTATGAGGGCAAGAAAATAAATGAAAACTGTAGCAATCGTTATGGGAGATATAGGACTATTTTCAGAAATATTTACACTTGTATATACGATTGGCTTAGCATTTGAAGTCCATACACCAAAAAATCTTAAGAGCGGTAGAGTGTTACTTGCTTTATTTTCCCTTCTTCATGTAATATAATGTTGGCTTACAAAATTTAAAATATTGTTTGGTAAACACTATCTCATTATTTTCTTTATTTTTTCTGACCTCACTTTTGTGTCTTGCTAATAATTAGGTAAGTTCATTGTTTCTTAGATACTAGAGATACACCAGTGATTTCAGCTCATATCTAGTTCTCTATCTAGCAATTTTGTTTATTACATTATTATTTTCCCATTTATTAAAATGGTAAGTTATTTGGAGATTTTAATGTTGGTATCAAATTTAAATTTCATCATTATATAATATAATATAAAGACCCCTCCAAACTTAAATTAAATGGTGACTAATGAACGTTTACTTTTAACAAGTATACATGAAGTTTGACTTTTTGTGTAAATTTACTTACAAAAAGCAATTAGTCCAAAAAGGAATTTTTAAATTCATTACTCCTTTAATCAGATCCTGAGTTTTCTCCTAAGGCACAAGGATGTTTATTCTTGCCAAAGTACAGAGGATTAATATTTCATTTGCACTTATTTAAAATCTGTTGACTTGTGGGAGTTGAAAACTGCATTTGGCAGTTCCAATTAAACACTAATTGCAATTTGAAGAATTTGCTACTATGAAGTTGAAAAGCTTGCAATGAAACAGACATAATTATCTTTGCTTCTCAATGATAAGCTAAAGTATGGAATTGTTGACTGCTATCTAAAGAAAAAATTGTATTTCCTTTATGAAATACAATTTTGGCTCCCAGTCATCTAAAACAGTGATGGTCTTTCATGGGGAAAAATCCTGAAGACCCAAAAATTGCAATTAGATAATCCAGATTACACAACTAAGAACTGGGAGTGCTTTGGGAAAATCCTCTCTGATAATCAATTAATTGGGTCGGAAGCACAAAACTTTGAGATAGTTTGTGTATTGAATATGTATTTCTAAGCATCTACTTAAAGGCTTTAAATGTGTAATACCCAAGTGTTTCTTCTTAGGGAATTGTCAGCGCCTAATAATTGTATTAGAAAGATGCACATAATTCAACTATCAAGTAGGTCATGAGATCAAGCCACTCATGGCAAGATGCGTTTTCTTCTTGTAGCGAAGGGCAACAGCATTAGTGTGTGCACCTACACACACACATACATGCTCCCATTCACATACACACCCCACCCTCTTGTTGACTGCCTATTTTCTTTTGTTCTTCACTATGAAATATTTACTCTTAAGTTAAGAAGGTATTTACTCTTAAATATTGCTCTTATATATAAGATTAAGATGGTCCAAGCTGCAGGGCTGTAAATATAGCATTGGTTTTAAATATGGAAGAACATGCGATCATGTCTGCATCTCACATCTCTTCCTCCAGAGATACATGTACTAAAAAGATAGGTCATTTACCCAGAGTTACCTACAACCAAATAATACCCCAATAAAGATAGGCAAGAAAATCCAATTGATGTTTGTCCATAAGAAAGGGAAGCAGGAAACCTCCGTGAAATCTAACTTGGCAGATGTTGCGCTGCTCCTCGGGGTGTCCTTGTATTTAGTAGTGCTTGCTGCAAATAGCTGCCTAGAAAGCAGAATGCAATTTCCTTTTCTGTCCGTTTGGGATGCTGTTGATCTTTGACAGCTATCCCAATGTATGGTATTTTCTATGGCCCTTAATTTGGCCACTTATGAAGTCAATCACCATCATCATAATTATATCATCTTCATTATCCTCATCATTTATTATATAATGTATCCATACTTTAAGATGCTAATGGCATTATTCCCTTTCAGGTGTTAAAAGATTGTTGAACTAGCTCTGTTTTTTATGGAAATCTAAAGGAGTAAAGAATTATTTTAAATTGTTAAGAAACACATTTCCTTGGCCTGGCCTGGGTGTGCATTTGTCAGTATGATTTTCATCAAGAAGAAGTCTACTTCTGTTTAATTCCAGTAACTTCCACAGGTCGATATTCCATAGCACAATTCTTCTGGAGACATTTCACTGTCTCTAAGCTACTTGCAGTTACTTTGAATTATGAGATGTTCTGGTAGCAGCACAATCTTATTCTTCTCTTCCAGCAATATTTTGTTCAGCTTTTAGGATTTATAGGGAATGACCTTAATGGAGTCAGCAGCGCCTTACTACTACGCAATGGCCATAGCACTGACTTGCAAGGACTCACTACTGAGGTTCAACTTTTATTGGCCTTTGTTGTTCACATCTCTAGTATTATATTTTCTCATCTGAAAATGAAAACCAAATGTTTCTAATAGTCTTGAAAGTCACACAACTTGTTAAATGACTACATGATCTTATATATCTCTTTGAAAACTTTACAATGATTTTTTTTTAAGTTCACCTTCCCGTGAGGTATTTGCTAGGTGCACCTGAAACAAACAAGAAATATTACTTCACATCTTTTCACCCAACAACCGCAGCTCTTTCTGTTTATCATCTGTCTTCCAGGGTATTACAGGAAACAAATTAACCAAATGTTTCACCTTTCTATAAAGGAAGCTTCCAGCATTCCAGTCTCCAAAGCCCATTTAGAGACAGTCTCCTGTTTTCCTATATTATTTTAATGACCGTGTTATTCAGGTCCAACTAGGTTTTATTTTCCTTGGCAGTAATAAATACTTCCAATGTGTGAGCACCCTTCAACAACAAATACTGATCATTACCTACGTAGATTTCATCCTAAATCAGAAGTCTGCTCTGTGCCCTTCTCCTTCAGAACTGTATTATAAAGCCACAACTGTCTGGGGCCTGTTGGCTTCATTGGGAGAAGAGATGGACAGGGGCCTGCGGAGGCTCTACAGGCTCTAAAAGGCAGCTGATGTGCAAGGCCTCTCCTCAGCAGGGCGTGGTGACACACCGCTGGGCAGACAACACTGATATGTGAGGACTGCAGTCTTGAATAGACGAGAAAGGAGTGTGACCGTCTTTGAGACCATAGCTCACGGGAAATCACTCAACCAGATTGTTGAGTCAGATTTTGAGGATGAATAATTCATGAAATCACCAGCCCTAGAAGATATCACCATTGCTTTGCCAAGGATGTAATCATCAGCAATTTCTTAAGTCAATATGGGCAAACCAAGAAGTTTATTTGTACCCCACCTTGCCCTGCCAACTTCAGAATGCCCCCATGATAAATTACAGGAATAATGATGATGATTAAACCAACGGCGGCTGGGAGCCTGCCTACCACATTCCTCTTCTGACTTGTTCTTCTTCTATGCGTGAATTTAATTCACTACACGTACATCTTTAGAAATATTTCGTAGTGAAAATAATGCCGTGTGTGGGTTGTTTTTCTTTTTGTTTTCCTTCCTTCCTTTCTTCTTTCTTTCTTTCTTTCTCTTGGTTGTGGGGCTTGAACTCTGGGCCTGGGTGCTGTCCCTCAGCTCTTCAATTCAAGGCAAGCGTTCTACCGCTTGAGCCACAGCTCCAATGCCAGTCTTATGGTGGCTTATTGGAGTTAAAAGTCTCATAGACTTTCTTGCCCAGGCTGGTTTTGAATCGTGGTCCTCAGATCTCAGCCTCCTGAGTAGTTAGGATTACAGGCATGAGCCACCAGCGCCAGGCTATTGTCTTGTAACTGTTTGGCACTGACTGGAGACAGTCTTTCTGGTCGAGGATCTAGGACTGATGTCTCTAAGTCATGAGCAGAGGCCAGAACGGGGACTGACACCATGAGGTTGTGGCTGGGTGAGGAGAGCCACGCAGTCAGGCTGATTTGGGAGACTATTCTGCAAAGGAAAATCTCTCCAGTGCTTGTGCATCTGAAATCCCACCACAGTGGCAAGTGCTCTGTCAGGAGTCTGCATTGAGGTGTCTACCTGGAATATGTGGTAATCAGTTAAGAGATGACTTCACACAACAAAATGAGTGACCTACTGCCGAGTGTACTAGAAAGTATGGATCGTAATATATAATCATAACGTACATCATATTTCTCTGACACATGCTTAAATCTTGAAATTTAAGTAAAGTTTAATTGACAACAACCTGTACTGAAGCATGGAACCTATTACATATTACCTCTCACCTGCATGTTGTCTATGTAATCTGTTCAGGTTTGTATTGCAATTTTAAGGCTGATTTTACTGATTCATTATACAGGTCTGTGTGTGTGTGTGTGTGTGTGTGTGTGTGTGTGTGTGTGTGTGTGTGTGTGTGTGCGCGTGCATGTCAGTCCTGGGGCTTGAATTCAGGGCCTGAGCACTATCCCTGAGCCTTTCCTTGCTCTAGGCTAGCACTCCACCACTTGAGCCACAGCATCACTTGCAGCTTTTTCTGTGTATGTGGTCCTGAGGAGTTGAACCCAGGGCTTCATGCATGCTAAGCAAGCGCTCTACCACTGAGCCACCTTCCCAGCTCCCACTCCCCCTGTGCCCAGCTTAATAGAGGCTTTTATTTGATTACTTCCATGGCATGAGATCACTTAGGAGTCCCTCATCCTCCTTTTGTTCAAGCCCCAGTTCGAGTTCTTCCACGCGAAGTCTCAGTCCTTTCACTTCTGCTCCATTGTGATCTGCTCGGTTGTTTGCACGAGTCACTTCGGCCGCCTTTGCCTCCTATTATCTGCTGAGTTTCTGGAAGGCGTGCTGAAGCTCTACCATTTCCTTCCAAAGGAAAACAAGAATCCCATTATTTATCATCTGCTCTGAGACAGTCAAGACAATGACAAGTTCTTTTTAAAAGGAGACAAGACTTTAGGAGGAAGGTAGCTGAATCACTCTTCATCTGGTTCTATAATTAAATGGTTCTATAATTAAATATTATGATTAGCTTTCCACTGCAAATGGAAGATATATTCCTTTGTAGCTAAAATGGCAAAAAATACAGTAAATTTTTAACTTTAGTTTTGTTCAGTCCATAACCCCACAGACATTCAGCACCCCTCTAGTCCTTTAGTTTTGAGTTTAGTTTTTGAAGTTGGGTGTCCTTAAGTTACCCTGGCTGGCCTGAGTGTATGATACTTCTGCCCTGACTCTCTGGAATTACAGGCCATCAGGCCTCTCACAATTCTTCTTGTTGTTGAATACAATTATCCAGTTTCAGCTCTGCCAAGAGGTATTTTTACAACTATTTTTACAAGTGAAGAATAAAATTTAATACAGTAAGTGCCAGAGATCTTTCATCTACAGGGTCAGTAGAAGTACTCGGAGTTAGTAAGTTGGTAATGTCACTGCAACTCTGTGGTCCAAGGGCTCCCTGTTGGGTTTTCCTCAATTGCATAACCAATCACATTGGACATTCAAGCCAACTTCTCAGTTCTTCTCCTCAGAAGACAATTTTCACATGTCAAGTTCTAGGCCTTTCCTTGTGACAAGGAAACACACAATAAGGAACACAATTCTATTTTTTGCAATGATAATTTTGCAAAGATCTTTCTAGGTCTGTCAAGCAGAAGGGAATGAATTTAGTGTACAAAATAAACTAGAGCTTAATGGAAGGTTTATAACAAGTCTACAAGGCCATGGTTGTTTCTCAGAATTACGTATTTATAACAACTTAAATGTTTTGGGATTTCTAACAAAATTCTTTCTCAGTGTTTTGCTATTAGGCTTACAAAATGGAATTTAAATTGCTTTAGAACAAATCATATAAATAAAAACTGTGAGATGTAAAATAAAGAAGAGAAAGATGGAGGGAAATAAGGCAGATAGGGAGATGAGAAAAGAAAAGACAGAAATTTGAATTCTATCATTTCTCAAATTGTGTCAATTTTAGAATTTATCTAAAAAACACTTTGATGTGCAAGACAATTACTGAAAGAACTTATTTTCCAATATTCAGAATACTCAGAATATAACATTTTAAGTACTGAGGATGTAGCTCTGAGGTAGGAAGTTTGCCTGATACACATCAAGACCCATTGCTAGCAAAGAACAAACAAATCAATGAACTATCTATTAAAGCAACATTTAAATTTTTGCAGAGAGGAAATAGAAGGTTGAACTAGAATTTTCAAATAATAAAAATAAAAATGCAGCATTAACATTGTATTTTATATGTCTATCATTTAAATGGTTACAATTTATGAAATGACTCTTGAATGATAAAACCATTATATTATTCATTACCTATTAAAAATCAACTGTACTTATTTTTTCAAGTTACAGAGTTAATTTGATAGACTAAAAATAGGATCTTTGTGGAAAATATTGAGAGACAGATGTCTGGGGGAGTATATTCTTTCTTACACATTTTTTTAATGGACAGGCTTCACTTGAAAGCAAAAGAGAGAAAGACTAGAAGACATTGGATGCAACAGAATAGAGAGCAGATGCATGGAGGAGAAGAGAGACACACAAACTCATAGAGGAACTCTTGGTAATTCTTGATGCATTGAGTATAGATGAAAAAGAGGAGAGCCAGTTATTGTAGCTTTGCCTAGACATCTTAGTATAAAGAAAATTTAATTTTGGTAGGAAGGGAGCATGGGAATGTCAACAAAACTTTCTGCAAGAGTGTGGAAGCCATAGTTTCTAAGAAAAATGACTCATTTTACTCAGATGGCAAAACACAGACGCTAGTGAAGACGAGGAAATTACAACAGGGTTGATTCAGTTAACAGATTTCAGTTTGCAGCTAATATAGAAAGCATACAAAATATTTATCATACATGATAAAGAGTAGACTCGGAAGGTTGGTTTTCCTGGCAACTCAGTAATGTCATTGAACACTAGGATTACATTTCTCTGCTGAGAACTCGAGTAGCCCAGGTTGTTATTTACAGATGTTTACTGTTGCTCCTTTAGAGGGTGATGATACACAAATATCACACACACGCGCGCTCCCTCCAGACCAAGTGAGCTCAGCTGATATCTAACATTTGAATGTTAATGAAAAGCAACTAAAGGAGGAGGAAAGTTTTAGAGGAAATTGCTTTAAGAATGAACAGCAGAATACAGGAATGCAAAGTGCATTGTAGAGGTTCTAGCACTTCAAGGGTGTGTGTGTGTGTGTGTGTGTGTGTGTGTGTGTATTATGAGAATATGTATGTATGTATGTGTTATGTGTGCTGTGTGTGTGTTCACTTGTGTGTTGGCATGCTGGCTATATAATAAAAGAGGTTAACTCATATCCAAATAAAATACTGTGTACGTATAGTGCTACATTCTGTAGCAATATATACCAGTACCTGGGCAGACACTGGCTAAGCAGCTGCTTTAAATATGAACATACTCAGTAGTCATATGGATAAGCACTGTGCTTCAGTTATGAATAATCACTTACAAGTTTCCATTTTGACCTTTCAGATTTGATATTACAGGTTCTCAGTCTCGGCAAGTCAGCTCAGATATTAAATAGTACACGAGAGCAATCCAGTTCTCTTATTTATATCTCGAGGTAATGGATTTCTGACGTAATTGTCATGTTGTCTATAAAACAGCATTTTCCCAGTTATCATGATAAGTGCGTCTGATATTACCAAATGGATTAGGGAAAAACAGAAAACTGCATTGAAAATGGCTCTGCCTTTGTTCAAGAGAAAGAGAGAGAGAGAGAAAAAGAAGATGGTGGAGGGAAGAAGACAAAGAAGCTTAGACATTTGTTTACAATGTTCTGTGCCTAGTGGAATACTTATTAAGAATATATAACCTAAGTTCCCTATCAGAAGTGAAAATAAATGCAGTTCTAATCCCACAGTACACATTTAATCATTTCTTACCAGTACAACTCAAGCTATCTGTGATTGTAAAGATTTTTTTCTACTGTATGAAAGGTGTACACAGAGTAATATCTATCTCAAAGGGATATTCTGCTGTTCTGCATGGTAGATATATATATATATATATATATATAATGCAGAATAGCACACATTATGTGTGTGTGTGTGTTCAATATGTATACTATTTTCTTTTTTTAAATAAGCTTTTTATTATGAGAATACTGTATAGAGGAGGGGTTACAGTTACATGAGCAAGGTAATGAGCACATTTCTTATCAAGCATTGTTGTCTCCTCCTTTGTTTTTCCCCTACCATCCCTTCCCTCCCACCTCCACAAATACACTCCCCCTACCCCACTCCCTGTCTAAACTGTGACGTTTGTTTTCGACATAGCGTCTTGTACAACTCATTGTTGCAATGGGTCCACCTGCATTTTCAAATGTTTAGAGAATAGCTATTCCATAATAGCAATAACGTAGTGCTTCCTACAGACACATAGCTAATTACTATTATCATCCAAAGAATAAAACATCTAACTATGCTTTCATCATTGGATGCAAAATCCCTTTGGTGGGGCTGAAAAGGAAGCATAATAAATAGAAATTCAATACTAATATATTCTTTGCTGAGTGAATAGGATTTCATTGCAAGTATTTCCCAGAGATCATGTACTATATCAAAAGAGCAAAACAAACGTTTCTAACCAATATAAGTCAGTCTACTTGCTAAAGCCATTCAGAAAACCCATCTGAGAGCTAGGCACCAGTGGCCCATATCTGTAATCACAGCTACTACTCAGAGGCTTCAATCTGGAGGACTGCAGTCTGAGGCTAGCCTAGGTAAAGTAACTTCACTCAACTCCATCTCCAAAGTAACCAGAAAAATCAGAGCTGGTGGCATGGTTCATGTGGTAAAGCATCCATGTAGCAAGTAAAAGGGCTTGAGTTCAATGCTCAATAACATCAGAAAAAGACATTCAAAAACATCTGAATGTATACCTCATTCTCAGACACTGGGAGATGGCAAGTGAGAACCATCTGCTCTCTGCTTCAATGTTCCAGGCATTATGGATAGAGGCATGTGCATAAGTAGAAGGAACAGACTTTGACGGGCAGAGCTATATGAAATAGTTGAGCATTTGGAGGTAACACAAGACAGACATGAAAGACTGCAGAAGTCTGAGACTGTACTTAACCATAAAAAGTTTCCCAGAACCTGGCATCTTAAATCAAAAAAATCTATCCATCCCACATCCCAAATATGGCCACAATATAGCCAAAATATCTTTAATGACCATGAAAACGTTAGAGAAACAAGATTCAGAAAAAAGTTCAGGTTAGTTTTTACAAATCTTAGAGAATAGCTCCATTTTACACAAATTATTTCAGGCAATACCCAAATATCTACAAGCTATATTTGACATTTAACATATGTATTTTATATTATATGTCACATCTATACCAAACCTGTGTGTGTGTGTGTGTGTGTGTGTGTGTGTGTGTGTGTGTGTGTGTACTCAGGGAGTGAAAGGCAGAGTGAATGCATGTGACAGCCATTTGATATTGGCCATCCAGTATGTTTTGGGACATGAACACAAACTCTATTTGAGGTATACCTGGACATCACCATTGAACTCCTTATACATACATAATACATAATACATACATACATACATACATACATCTACATACTATAATACAGCACAGGTCAATACATGCATATTTCTATATAGCACAGTTTATAAATGGAAAGTACAAGTATGCATCAATAAAGAATTGATAAAAACCACAAAGTCCTGGAATAGTTTGAATAAATGAATTTATATTTAAATTCATATTTATCAGCATTCATACTTCTAAAAAATCATTTTAGCATTAAAAGCAACTTGGAGAATTATACAAGTTCAGTCCTTTAAAATTTGCATAAAGTATTATACTGTTGTGA